TGACTTACAACACATAGTAATAAATTGAAAACAAATTCGCTCAATTGTTTACATACCTTATTTCGTTCTTCGATTCGTTGAAATTCTTTAGACATGAGACCACGAGATTTCTATTAAAAAATAATTACACAAGTCTCACAAAAGTGCCCCTGGTCATTGTGAGTGCCCCTGATTTTGGGACACCCTGTAAAGTTCAATGAAATAAAATCAATTTTTAGTTTAATAGTTTCAATACTAAAGTCTAAATCTTGACTTGAACTTAAACTTTCACGTCAAATCATATAACGTATTTGTTTTTCTTCATTTGCTTTTTCCGTTGCTGCTGTCGCAACCATTTTATTGTACAAATCCTAGACAACAAAAATAATACCTTTAAAACAAGAAAGTTCCAGATTTCATAAAAACAGTCAAACAGCTTCTTCGATTTTGCTAACACACGTACGCAGTCATCAGAGAAGTGTTAATTATTTCAACAAACGATAACATTTAAAACAAAGAATTTCCTAATTTTGTACAAAACAAACGTTGTCACCAGTCATCGTCTTTTCCGTCCATCGGAAACATATGGCTTGCATCATTCTGCAAATGCATTTGGCTAAAGATCTGAAAAATACACAAAATATCTGTATTACCGAATGAGAAAATCTAACTTTCTCCAACCCATCAGTGTCAGGTGATGGCTTGATTAATTTTATTTTTTTTTTAACAGCACGTTTGACATAGCCAATAACGTCCTCGTTTGCATGAATTTCGACACTTGAACAAATTGGAACTTTTTAGTCCTTAAGTAATACATATTCATGATAACAACAAAAAGAACTTCTATATGTATAACCTGTGTTTTTATTCTATTTCCTTTTACTATTTTCGATACAATCTATTAGAGTACCAGGCGCCTTTTCTATTATGTAAAAAAGTTCAAACAAAAATGGATTTAAGCAAACTTTCAGGATCACCAGAGTCTATCCGGTGAACCGCATTAGATTATAACGCGGTTAGCAGCAGCATCTACGAAATGCTTCCAAACGCGTTCAACTGCGTTAAAGGTATCGAATTACGATGCGGAATGCGTTAGTTAGTTAGTAAATGCACCTAAACGCATTTGTTTCTGTTGCGGTCAAATGCGTTTGGGAGACATTAACGCGCTCAAACGCGCTTAACTTGAATACGTTCGAACGTGTTAGTCATTTGAACGCGGCAAAATGAGTTTATTTTCACAGCGGTTTAGCACGTCAGTTTCTGACGCAGCCAAACGCGTTTCAAACTAACGTATATAAATGCATTTACCACCGATTAACGCGTGCAAACGCGTTCAGACACGTTTTTAGTGCAAAAAAACGCGTTTAGCAGTGCGATTGGTCTAAAAAAATGTCTGCCTGGGTTTCTCATCAGCTAAAACTAATGAACTAAACCTTTCAAGATATAAAGCATTCAATACATATCAGAACATAAAGACGAGTTTAGCACTTTCGTTTCTGAACGATTTCATAATATGGATGATTATATTGCTCGAATGAGTATGGAGACGGAATATGAAGATTATCTCAGTTTGGTTACCTGCGTTATTGCATTAAAACCTAATACAATCGTACACGAATTACATAGAGAACCTTTATTAATACTGAATTCAGATTTTATTGATGAACAAATTCATGTTCTATATGACAGAAAAGCTACACCCTATGAAAGTGTACGATGTTCGGATGGTTCTATACTAATCTTGTTTGAAGTAAATCTGCTGAGAACGTAAATGCAATTTTCTTGAGAACAACATTATAATTTCACAACTAACTATTTTTCTTCTTCTTTTCTTTCTTCTTCTTCTTCAGGTTTAATCTAACTGTATCTTCTTTAATTGTAAAACTCATGAATTTTATTTCAATCACTACTTTAGCGCGCTCGGATCAGGAGTCGTTTACGTTTTTTAATGTATGCCGATGACTTCCATCGTTCAAGTTTTTTACTGTATCGTGCAATGTGCTTTTTTCGTGCTCAAATCGACAACAAATGAAACAAATTCTACCATGCCATTAGATGGTCAGCGGCCAGATTCAAACTACAAACAGACATGGAATTTCATCCATCATAACCACGGTGGGAGTAGTAATGTGAATCACCGGCAGTTGAGTGGCTACACTCTTATCCTGCCACTACTTTCTGAACAAACGACAATTACATAGTTGAAGAAAATAGAGTTCTACTCAACATACTTCAATTTTGATTTGATTCGTCGAATGTCATCTTCACTTGTGACAACATCTGGATGAGTGGATGGAAGTGAATGGCGGCGAATTGTGGCTGCTTTTTGAAAGTACTCGAGTGCCAGCTGATGCTTGTTTGTGGCTTCATGCACAAGACTAATACCCCTGTATGTGCTAACGATAGAAGGATGAGTGGGTGGAAGAGACTTTGTCTTTATTCTCAATGACTTTTCATAGTTCGACAAAGCCATATCATATTCCCCTTTCCGATAGTAAACACTACCGATGTTCATATATGATTCACCTACACTTGGGTGATTGGCAGGAAGAACCTTCTGATATATCTCTAGTGACCTCGTGTAATTAGTGATTGCTAAATCCAACTTGTTTTCATTCGAGCAGATGTTTCCCATACTGCTCATTCATGTATTACATCATCACTTGTTCACATAGAATCATCATCATCCTTTGATACTCGACGTCACACAATCTCCATCAACATTCTCTAAAATAACGGAATATGCTTAGTTGTTGTAGATACCAGCAACAAGTTCATGATTTTCACCATAGCACTTCAACCATATTGATAAGGCTTTCTCATAGTTCTGCAGTGCTGATCTATTATCACCCATTTTTCGATGAACTTCACCAAAGCTGTTGTAACTATACCCAATATTTGTATGGTCTGGTGCTAGTGTGTGCAGTTTGAGTGTGAGTGATCTGTTGTGATGTTCAAGAGACAATGTGTAATCGGCTTTGTCTATAGCAATCACGCCAAGTGCATGGTAACATTGTGCCTCTTCTGGATCATTCTGTGGCAGTTCAACAAGTCGTCGTTCAATACATGTCTCAGCCTTCTCATACTCACCCATCTGCCGCAACAAACATCCAAGGCCATACAATGTCGCCTCACCTTCTCCAATCCTCTTCTTCATATGATCCATCATTTTCTTCAGAACGAGATCGAGAATATAAATTCTTATTATACCATTCTGAAACTTAAACTATCAAAACACAAAATCAATCCTTGCACGAAGCTAGGATCGAACACACGAACTTGATCTTTGCAGACGAACTGCAAAAATCAACTTCGCTGTTCTTTCCTATATTCTGCA